ATTTAACGTGACCGTAGAATTCTCTCAACAGTTCCGCTATGTATCACATTTCGATTCTCCCTCCTTGCCTTTACTCCTCCCAATGACTCCACAACCGAAATCAGCCCCACACAAATCATTTGTCAGTTATTTCAACACAAGTTCAGCGGCAGCTAAGTTTTGCCAAAAAGCTAGGGGAGAAAAACAAAAGACTGACACTTCAAATCCATCAGTAACTAACTTGCAAAACATGTCTTCTAAAAGAAAAATAAATAAAGACTCATCCCTGATGCATGCAGGAGGCTGTGCAGCTGCAGCCTGTGCTGCAGGAACACGTGCTACACGAGCCACCACCACTCAGAGAAGTGGTGAGCCCAAACCTCTGGCAAAACTAAGAGTTCTAAGATTTCCTTCTTCTATATAAAATAAATAAATAAACTGCCAACATAAAAAAATTTCCTAATATATTGAGGGGTTATTAGAATATTTTTGTCATAGACTTCAGTTATTTTTAGGATATGAAGTTGTACAGCACATTAAATTGTGAGACTATCCACTTACCAGCAAATAGTATTCTACACAGTAACACACAGATTATGATAACTGCCATAGTTCTCATCTTAAAATGCAGCATCAGTAGCAACAACCAATGGATCTAGTCTTTCACTACTCGGGACATTGCAATGAAGACAACATTGTACATACATGGACAATTAAGTTCATCTTATTCTCTAATCGAGCTGCCTCTGCAGATTCCATTCATAGTGATTCTCACTCCGTTTTCAACTGCAATTCAGAGAAGAAGCATTAGACAGATTTTTCTTGTCTAATACCTCTTCTATACTCTTCACTTGTCTGTTCCATATAGGGGCAAATCCTAGATGAACTCTACCACCAGTGCAGCATACTGCCCTCAGATCTCCAGTGTTCCTGGAGTCACACAGCCATCTCCTGCATAAATCCTTTGGTCTGCACCCTTTTGCCAGGCTGAAAGCACAGACATTAGTAAAAGTCACTTTTCATCCAACAGATGTGTCCATTTTCATTGAAGAAAGTCTTCTGCATTTCTGCTTTTTTCTATTTACTTCTGCTGTGGTCTCACCAACTGACCACAGCCACTGAGCAGCCAGCAGTCTTGGCCTTCTCACATGTTGAAATCACCACAGCATAGGGTGGATAGAAAACCTATGTATCTTGGCCAAATTGTCTCTTTTCTTTCTTAGGAAACCCCTTGTCTCTTCACACAGCTACTTCAACATGCTGTATTCTCCTTACAGTAACATTACAGCTTCATACTTCCACAAAAAAACCCAGAACTTCCCAGATAGACAAAACTTTCAATACTGTCCATTTTGCTGCCACTTTTTCTAGCATTTGTACAGTTTTATTCCTTTCTCTGGCAGAAGACCATTTTCTTTTTTGTGTCCATATTCATATTGGGTTGCATTGTTCACTAGTACCTCACAGCAGGCTGACCTGGCTCTGCAAGCTCTGGTTCTCCATGTCTATCTTCACTTTGACGTTAGCACTATAACTTATTTCCATATGGTGAATAACAGATTACCAAAATGTTTGAACAATACAGAATATTCTGCCTGAAGACAGAATGCAAGTGTCAGATACAAGTGTCATGGTCAAACTTAGCTCAAAACAATTCTGAAAGTGGGTGGCTTTGAGAGGAAATAAAGTTCTTCTATGCAAACCTATCTTCTGCTCCAGGAACCTGAACAGTAACTTTAAACAGTTTCAAATAGTTAGACTTTAGGCCTAAATATATTTGCTACAACTTGAAAGATGAATGCCCTGACGCCATTTCCACTGCTGTCCATGTAAGAGTTTGTGTAACAGTCAAGCACAGTAGTTCAAGAACTCAATTGCAAACACTGATTCACAGAATCACCTTCCTTTTCTACTTCCAAATACGTGGATTTCTGGAAACTTCCTGCACCATTAATGCATTTTATCATCCATCAGTGTGATGTCTGTGGAAGGAAATCGTGGATCCTACACACACACAGAGCTGGAGAGCAAGACCAACTGTTGATAATGACATACAGAACAGTTTGTTCTAACACACCTTTGGTCATACCTGTTTAGCATTTTGAAGCACACAATAGCAGCCTTTCACCCCCACCCCTTACTCCAACACACCAACAGTACTATGTTTAGGTAGGAAGCACAATCTCAGCCTCATGGCAAACCTCGTGGAAAAGAGCTGCATTGGAAGAAATACTTATGCCAAACACAAACACCAATTCTCTGCTGAGGATCAGCCACTTGATTATTAGTCTATGCTACACTTCAGGGTACTAAGAGTGCTGTTCTACTGGGAATGGTGTGCCTCAGATAGATTTCCTTTCAGCCTGGCTGGGATGCAGATAATTCCACGGCACTTTGAGAAGCAATACAGTGTAATCCCAGAATCCCAAGTAACGTGCTATTCCCGCTACATCTGGCGTTTAAGGTGGTATACAAGAGGTATTGCTGAGTACAGTCAATAGCTGCTATATTAACCTACAGAAATCGTGCTACCTATACCTCATCCTAGGCTCTGTAAAACACTAATGGTCATGAACTATGCAGGTCACTTCAAAACATGTCCAAGAAATCAAAAAACTTTAAATTCTTATAGCAGGTATTTTTGTTTCAAGTTAACTGACACGTGGCCCTTATTCATCAAGGAGAGACACACAAAGAACTAAGGGAAGAAAAAAAAGCAAAAAAAAACCCAAAAAAGCATGGAGTTGTTATATATTGCAGCTTTTAAAACAGATTCTTTTCACAGTGTCAAAAGGCAGTATTTCTCCACTCCAGCTTTGCTCTAAACCCAACAGCTGTTGTGGTTTGTGATGCAAAACTTAGGGAAGGTGGATGATAATTTTTAGCTTTGAAGTGTTTAGCTTGTCTCAGTACATGCACTGGTAAGTGCCCTTTAAAAATCCCAGGTATGACAGCTTAAGAAATAGGTCATACTTGCACTCCAGGCAGCAGCCTCTCACATTCCAGAGCTGCAATCTATCCTTGGTTTGAACAGCTCTATGCAATGATCAGCTAACCCTGCCAAATCATTCAGGGTTTCATCTTTTCATAATGCATGTTGAGGTTAAAAACCCTGAGAGCTTTTAAGAGAGCACTGATTGGCAGCAGAAGTTTCTTGAAATAAGTTTAGAAAGGGCACAAAAGTGACAGAAAAATACTTCATTTCAACTGCAGGAGTCTAGGGGTAAGATCAGAGAAAGGTAACTCTAAGAGGTAAGTTTAAATTTAGGTATATGGAGTGTTTTCAGTTATCCAGTGCTTTTAAAAAAAACAGCAATCGGGTTATCTCACAGACTTGTCCTCTTTGCTCTTTCCTCCATCTGCCCAGCCACACAGAGGCCTCTAACTGTATAGCAGGTGGTTTACTTGCAGCCCACAGCAATAGTCTTTCAAAAGGTGTTAGTCTGGAGTCTCCTAATCAGAGAGAAATGAAACAATTAACCCCATAATCCACAGTAGAGACGCAGACAGAAACCTGAAGGAGGATTGCTATTCACAGGAAATATCAAGTAAGACTAAGAACAATGGCTGAGGATCTGCCAGGTTCTGCAATCCAACCTGCCATCCATCCATCCATAGCCTTTCGGGGCACACCACCAGTTTGGGGAAGAGCCCAAACCAAAGGTTTGCTCCTCTCAGTCACGATCCCTACACAGGGCAGGTTTTAATTGCTTAATTGACACAGGTACTATCATTTCTCAAACTGAGCACAGCCTGAGACAGCTTCCCTGCATCCAGTACCTGGCTGGCATCAGCCTGCTGACAGACCTTGCTGTCTGCAGCAGTGCTACATGTGAATGAATCGAAGTCCACCGTGATGTCTTGCACGTTTCTTTCATTGGCATTGTCAAAGCTATTTTTACCGTGTAGCTGTTTGAGGTGTTTCCTCAGAACAGGTTTATGCGCAAAAACCATGTCACAGTAGTTGCACTTGTGGGGTTTGTCCCCACTGTGCAGGTTCAGGTGGTCCTGTAAGGAACATTTCTGAGAGAACGTTTTCCCACAGATCTTACATTGGAATGGTTTGATGCCTGCGTGCACTCTCATGTGCCGGTGGAGGTTGCCCTTCTGAGTGAATGTCTTGCCACAGAGCAGACACATGAAGAGTTTATGCATCTTTAAGTGATTAGCATAGTTTTCCAGATGCCGAAATACTCTGGTGCACTTTGGGCACTGATGGTGCCACTGGAGGCCTTTGTCTATACCTCGGTTGTTGGGCCCAAACATATCTTTAGAGGCCAGAACGATGTTATCGCCGCCAGCGTACGAAACAGCATAGTTGTGGAGGTGGTTTTGCTCTATTTCACTTGCTCTGTTTTCAACAGTGGAGTTGATAAGGAAGTGCTGAGGCTCTGAGGAATGCAGCGCTGTTTGTTCAGAAGAGAGAAACTGGTTCTGATCCTTCTTATTCCTAACTTCTGTCACCTCCCCGATGGACTCCACCTTGATGATCTGAATGTCGCTGTCCTCCATGTCCATGCTGTCCTCTGAAGGCTGAATACACGGCGAGTCTTGCTGCAGAGACTCGTCATCTCCCTGATGTTCCTTCAGCTCAGAGGAGTCACTCTGCTGCTCACACTCCTTGCTCTCCAGCGGCTGCTTCGGCTTGATGAACTTCCAGAGGGCCTGAGTGCATCGCTCCACGATGTGGCTCATCTGCAGGAAGCTTGCAGCAGTCAGGTAGTTCACCAGTTCCATTTCGGGGAACTCCAGAATGCCACTGTAGCAGGAGAGCAGCAGCTGCCTGCCCACCTCTGAACTCTGCAGGATGGAGATTTTCACATCTCTGGAGTCATTCAGTAGGAACTGATCTCTCAGAAAGGGAGAACCAGCAGCAAAGACAATTTTATGCCCATGAACTTCAACATCATCTATATGGACCACAACATCACAAAATTTGTTTTCTTCCCTCAGTTTGTTCATTTTCTGTAACATGGAATCTCCATAGTTGTCAAACTTGAAGTGAAGAATATCTGATCTTTCTGACATTTTGTCACACCTAAGGGAAAGCAGCAAGAAAAAAACAATGAGAACTTCTTTGTTTTCTAAAAGGCAGGTTAGAAGGGTCTAAAGTAATAATACAAATTGGGTGTTTAATCAGCTGTTCTGTTTTATCCTAGATACACAAGGAAGTTCATTACAAGTAAAAAAAAAAAACAAGTTTACATCTTGCCTTACAGTAACTTCAACCTTTCAATTTAGTGCAGCTTGAATATAAAGTAGAGGTGCTATGACAGAAATTGTCCTTAAGCAGTATCCTACAGAGTTAAGAAGTTTTCCACACCACCTGTCTGAGTTTAAAGGGAAACCATGGAAGTATTTTTAGCAAGCTCTGTGCCATCTGCAGCATGGGGTTTAATGCATCATTTTAGATTGCCTTTCAAGTTTTTCTGCAGGGGTTTGTTTGCTGTGTGTTGGTTTGGGGTTTTTTTAAATCACAGAAAAATCTTCAGTATGGCTCCCTGGTTTGAATCCCTGGGGAGTATAGGCAGTCTTGTTTCTTGCTTTCTTTGGAAGATCACTTACTTCTCTAGGAAGTTTGTTCTTGTTTGATAGTACTTGGAATGAACAACAGTGAATCTTCCATAAAACAAGTTTCATTCCTTAGTCTTTCCACAGTTAAGTATTTCTAAGACTACAGTGATTCTTGATGAAACACTGTTCACACAATCCTGCAAAGAGCTGGGATTGCAGCAAGTGAAGAAATCACAGAAGACTAAATGATGTAAGATTTGACGAGATAACATTACAAACCAAAGCAAAACTTACACCTCCCAACTATTACCCCACCACATAAAGCTGGAAAGGAAGCTTTGAAGTTTATAGATAAAAGCAGATAGTGATCTCTCGGGGCATGAAGCACCAGCTGGGTGTACACACAGGAATGGCACTGTGCCCAGCAAAGTGAATGAACACACAAGACCTGGTTCAGAGAAGAACATTTTTAGAGCATCTGTCAATAATCAGGTTTCGTGTTTCAGTTTGCAGCTCAGACAGCATTCAGAGCCATGACCTCCTTGCTACTCGAGCCCATCAAGTCTAGCTTCCAGTGTAAGGCATGCAAAGGTTAGTTAAGGATTTGAGAAGCCTTCAGAAAGAAAGGGAAGCTCGGAACCAGGGGGAGCATCATTCTGCTGCAGCACCAGTTCTGCTGCATCTACAGAAAGCAGAGCTGCCTCACTCATCCCTATTTCCAGGGCAGAAAGTTTAATTTCATGAGGCAACAGCCTGTGGCAAATGTAACCAATAGCAACAGATTATCCTGAAGTATCTTCAGCGAATTTTGGGCGTTAATTGAGAAACTGAAAACTGAAGAGCAGAGACATGCCTTGGCACACATTCAGTTCCACTACTACTAATCTCCAAGAGAAAAGAGCACGAAATGAACGCCAGACCCTCCTTCTCGGCAGGTGGCAGATCAAAGCTAACTCCCGGCAGGGCTCCCCGCTGGAAGCGTGTGCTTCCTCGGTCTCTACCGACCGCGGACGGCACCGGCACCGCACACGCACTTCCCGGCGGCCGGGAAAAGGATGTTCCCGCACAGCGTAACTCGGCCGGGAGCCCAACAGGGTTAACGAGACGCAC